GGTTTCACCGTGTTAGCCAGGATGGTCTCGATCTCCTGACCTTGTGATCTGCCCGCCTCAGCCTCCCAAAGTGCTGGGATTATAGGCGTGAGCCACCGCGCCCGGCCCATGCCCGGCTAATTTTTACATTTTTAGTACAGACAGGGTTTCACCATGTTGGCCAGTCTGGTCTCAAACTCCTGACCTCAAGTGATCCACCTGCTTCAGCCTCCCAAAGTGCTGGGATTACAGGTGTGAGCCACTGCGCCCGACCAGGAGTCCTATTATTGTCCCCAATATAGAGAACAGGAAACTGAGGCACAGAGAGGTAAAATAGCTTGCCAAAGGTCACACAGTGTGCAAGTGTGAGAGCCAGGATTTCAGTGAAGGCAGTGTCCGCCAGAGAAGAGAGCAGAGAGCAGGCAGCTTATCTTTTTTCCCCATTGTGTCTACAGCACCTGACACAGATGCTCATAAACATGTCCACTGGTGATCCGGAGTCTTCCCTTCCTGGTAATTTCCACTTGTGCCTCTCTCTGTGCTCATTGTCACATCCACCCACAGACAACAAAGATTACCAGAGAGGCAGAGGCAGGTGATTAGTTGTATTATCGGGTCTAGGGACCTAGGGGGCAGGGGCCTTGGACTCCTGGGCCTAGGAGCCCCAAACTTCTGGGTCTCGGAGGGGCGGGGAGCCAGGATGCCTGGGTCCCCAAGCCAGGCTCTTCCTCCAGGGACATTCACTTACCTGCCCAAAAATGTGAGCACTGCCCCTTCCTCTTTAATGGAGACCTCCTTAGCCAGCTGTGAAGGGGGACAGGGAAGAGGGGAGGGGATAAGGAGGAGGGGTGCCCCACTCCCGGTAACCAAGCCTGATCCCGGTTTCTGGCAGGGGGGCGGAACTTGCCATTACCTGCCCTGGGCGGGACTCAGGTAAGGGACAAAGTATTTAAAGGGACCTTGGGATAAAGGACTTAAAGTCCGGAGATCCATGGGGAAGCCAAGGTGTCGAATACCATGGGGCACTTGGGGGATTGGATTCGACCCTCCTCCTCCCTCTCGCCCCCTACCCGCTCTGGCTCACCCCTGGAAGTTCGCCTGGCCGAGCTAGAAAAATTAATGTCTGGGTCCCTAGATACCTAGAAACTAGCGGGGACGATATGCCTTAGTCCCTGGGACAGCTGGGCAGTGCCGCAGTAAATCCCTGTTTCCTGAGGGCGACTTGAACGGCTTTGACTTTCAATTTCCCAATGGCTCTGTCTGTAAAATGGGAGCGCAGCTGTCTCTTCTCAGTTGAGTTTTAAGATGCAGCAAGAAGAGTGGATGATATATTTGGGGAAGTGGGCTTCCCGATCTCTAGGGGAAGTGATTAGTCCTTAAATTTGGGCTTGGAGGGACTCAAAGCCTGGGAATCAAGCAGGAAAAAACGATCTCCCTGGGAAATGCCTAGTACATAGTAAGCGTTCCGCATATTCCCACCAGGTTCAATATCCGGAACCTTCTATTTGCCACTCACGTTTCCGAAGGGAGAAAGAGAAGAGAGGACTTGAGCAAGCCAGGCGAGACACTTCCGCAACTAGGGGCAGCTCTACTTCCGATGCCTTCTGCTGGGCGGAAGTGGGCGGAGCGGAGGGGGAAAACAGTGCTCCTTTCCGGTGTCGGGGCACAGTTGAAGAAGCGACCGAGGGACCGGGAGTCGTTCGGCAGGTAAGTTCGAGGCGGTGCAGGAAGGGTGTTGCTGGGATCGCTTTCCTGCGGGCTAGAGATCTGGGGTCCTGAGGGAGACTGGGGCAAGATTTTAGATTCCCGATTCCCTGTCAATCATTATTAGTAGAGCTGTCCGGGCGCCCCAAGTTTGAAGCTGAACTACACTCTCCTGGAGGTGGCCAACCGTCCATCGGGCAGTTCTCTCTCCTTCTGTGTCTCTCACTCTCACTCACTCACTCTCACTCTCTCTCACAATAAACTCAGCGAAGTGGTAGCCCGCATCGGCCAGCTCTCCTGAGAGTTACAGTTCCGCTGTAGATGATGGCGATTTGCTGGTGGTCCCAAGGGAAGGAATGGACTGGGATTGCTGGCGGTCTAAGCAGTGGGAGTTGAGGAAAGAGAACTCCTTTCCTGGCCTCAGTTTCTCAGACTCTGGTGGGACGGCGGGCGATACCAGATTGTGCAGGCGTCCATCGCCACCTTCTCTTCACGTTTTTGATAGCCCCTTGCCTCTCGGGGTTGGTGCAGGGATTCACCTTTTCCTGTGTGGAGCTTCGGGGTCAGGCAGTCGTGGATTCGCATTCTGATTGTGCTGCTAATTCTGTGAACTTGGGGCTTGAAGGGTCCTTGAGACAGTTTGATGTTAATGTTTTCTTATGAAAATGTTCAAACTTACATAAAACTGAGAGAAGAATACAGGAATTTCTGTCACCCAAATCTACCAATTATTATTTTTGCCATACTTGCTTTGTTTTTTTTTTTAACCATAAAGAGATTAAAACAAATCCTCGGCATCACGACACTTAAGGATTGTCAAAAGACAAAATTACAACACAAGTAGTGAGAAGATCTTAATTGGCATTTATTTGTGGATCTACAATCGAACAACATCTAATTATGGAAAATAGCATGAGTGTTCCAATGAGCTGAGCAGAGGAGGAGGTTGTTTTCAGAGGCAAAGGGCTGAGAAAGTAAGAAACTGAAAACAAAAAGCTAGTTGGTTAAATTGATTAACTTGATTAAATTTCTAAGTTAAAGGTTAAAGTAGAGGGGACTTCCTTTATCAGGTGGGCTAAAACTGAGCTGTTTGGGGATTTGGCTATTATCTCTCTCCCGATGTCTCAGAAGATCGGGTATCAACTTAGTTTTGGCTTGGAAGCATGGAACTTTAGCATGAGTGACTCCATTTTGGTTTGGTTCGTTGAACCTAGTGCAGGAGCTCAGTCCTAACCAATGACCTTCTATAAATTTTATTTAACAGGGTGCGCGTGTGAAAACCAGAAACATTGCTAATATGACCACAATACCATTATCACACTTTACAAGAACAACCGTAATTCTAGACTACTATCCATTACGTGGTGCAGAGTCAAGTCCAGTGTAACTGTGGGTTTGTTGCAATCAGGATGTAGTTTTTTTTGCTATTGTCTTTTACATCTCTCTTAATTTAGAACTGTTCCGGCTGGGCGCGGTGGCTCACGTCTGTAATCCGAGTACTTTAGGAGGCCCAGGCGGGCGGATCACGAGGTCAGGAGATCGAGACCATCCTTGCTAACATGGTGAAACCCCGTCTCTACTAAAAATACAAAAAATTAGCCAGGCGTGATGGCGGGCTCCTGTAGTCCCAGCTACTTGGGAGGCTGAAGCAGGAGAATGGCGTGAACCCGGGAGGCGGAGGTTGCAGTGAGCGGA